GAGCCCATATCTGAGGTTCTCTCAGAGCCGATATCAGAGGTTCTCTCAGAGCCCATATCAGAGAATCTCTCAGAGCCCATATCAGAGGTTCTCTCAGAGCCCATATCAGAGGTACCCTTATAGCCCATATGAGAGGTTCTCTCAGAGCCCATATCAGATGTTCTCTCAGAGCCCATATTAGAATTTTTCTCTGAGCCCATACCAGAGGTTCTCTCGGAGCCCATATCAGAGGTTCTCTCAGAGTCCATATCAGAGGTTCTCTCAGAGCCCAAACCAGAGGTTCTCTCAGAGCCCATATCGGAGGTTCTCTTAGAGCCCATATCAGAGGTTCCCTCATAGCCCATATCAGAGGTTCCCCAGAGCCCATATCAGAGGTTCTCTCAGAGCCCATATCAGAGGTTCTCTCAGAGCCCATATCAGAGATTCTCTCAGAGCCCATATCAGAGGTTCTCTCAGAGCCCATATCAGAGGTACCCTTATAGCCCATATGAGAGGTTCTCTTAGAGCCCATATCAGAGGTTCTCTCAGAGCCCATATTAGATTTTTTCTCAGAGCCCATACCAGAGGTTCTCTCGGAGCCCATATCAGAGGTTCTCTCAGAGCCCATATCGGAGGTTCTCTCAGAGCCCATATCAGAGGTTCCCTCATAGCCCATATCAGAGGTTCATCAGAGCCCATATCAGAGGTTCTCTCAGAGTCCATATCAGAGGTTCTCTCAGAGCCCATATCAGAGGTACCCTCATAGCCCATATGAGAGGTTCTCTCAGAGCACATATCAGAGGTACCCTCATAGCCCATATAAGAGATTCTCTCAGAGCCCATACCAGAGGTTCTCTCAGAGCCCATATCAGAGGTTCCCTCTTAGCCCATGTCAGAGGTTCCTCGGAGCCCATATCAGAGGTTCTCTCAGAGTCCATATCAGAGGTTCTGTCAAAGCCCATATCAAAGGTTCTCTCAGAGCCCATATTAGAGTTTTTCTCAGAGTCCATACCAGATGTTCTCTCAGAGCCCATATCAGAAGTTCCCTCAGAGTTCATACCAGAGGTTCTCCCAGAGCCCATATCGGAGGTTCTCTCAGAGCCCATATTATAGGTTCTATCAGAGCTCATACCAGATATCAGAGGTTCTCTCAGAGCTCATGCAAGATATCAGAGGTTCTCTCAGAGCTCATACCAGAGGTGCCTATTAGATCATATTAGGGAATGATACTATAGATCATATCGGGGGTACTCCCATAGATCTTACCACGGATGCTCCCATATATCATGTCAAGGGTACTCCCATATATAATACTAGGGGGTGCTCCCTTATATAATACCAGGGGTGGTTCCCTATATAATACCAGGAGTGCTCTTTCTTATATCATACCAGGGGCTGCTGCCATAAATCATAACAAGGGTGCTCCTAGGATGTGCTGTGATTGCTCCTGTATATCATATCAGGATACTCCCATATATCATATTAGAGGTACTTCCATATATGATAACAGGGGTGCACCCATATATCATACCCAAGAGTGTTCCCATATATCATACCATGTGGTGCATTCATATATCATACAAGGGGTACTCCCATATTATAGGTACTCCCATACATCATATACCAGGGGTGCTCCTGCATATCATATCAGGGGTACTCCCGTATATCATAACAGGTGTGCCCCCCATATATCATAACAGGTGTACTCCCATATAGCATACCCGAGGGTGCTCCCATATAGCATACAAAAGGTGCTTTTGTATATCATATCAGGGGCACTCCCAAACATCATATCAGAGGTGCTCCTATATACTATTACATGGGTACTCTCATATATCATACCAAGGTTTCACCTCATATATCAGAGTACTCCCATTTTTCACATCAGGGGTACTCCCATATATCATATCAGGGGTACTCCCATATATCATATCAGGGGTACTCCCATATATCATATCAGGTACTCCCATATCATCCAGGGTTACTCCCATATATCATATCAGGGGTACTCCCATATATCATA